TTTCTGTTTTGAATGCATGTCTGAAGAGGAAGGTTTTCACCTGTTGGCGGAAGGCCATCAAGGAAGGGACCATTCTGGTCTACCTGGGAAGGGAGTTCCAAAGTCTAGCGGCAGCCACAGAAACGGTCCTGCCTCACACTGTTCATGGATTAAGCCTCCCCTTTTATACCCTAGACCAGGGGTAGGCAACCTTTCCCCTTTAAGGGCTGAGGGACTTCAGCTCCCAGAATCCCAGGAGCTATTGGCCAACATGGGACTATTGGCCAACATGGCTGAGGCTTCTAGGAGCTGAAGTCCCTCAGCCCTTAAAGTGGAAAGGTTGCCTACCCCTGCCCTAGACTCTGTAGGGTCTGATTTGGTCCTCCCCTGAAGGGATTCTGGGTGCATCTACACTGTGGAATAATGCCTCTTGACACCACTAGCTGTCATGGTTCCTGGGATTTGTAGTTTTATGAGATGCCAGCACCCTTTGGTTGAGAAAGCTAATGAATGGTCTTATCAAACTACACACCCCATACGATGGAGCAACAGTGTTTAAAATGATTTCGGACTGCATTATGTCTACAATGTAGATGCAGCTTGTGTCCCCAGTAAAACCCTGGGCACTTTCCTTTATTCCCGCAGAGCATCTCACAGCCCTTCAAAACAGAATGGGAGACCCTTGACCCAAGAGCCTTGTGATACCCTCTTCTGGTAGTCTTCCTATAGAAAGCAAGTGCACACACACACACATGCCACAGCAGTTGCTATTTGTGACTCCTTTGACCTCTGGCATATGAGAATACATGCTTGAATAAATTGTTTTTGAGTTGCCCCAGATCTTTTGCTGTTCCTAGATCACAAAAACCCTGCCTCAATATTTCCTGTTCAGTTCTGGTTTAGCTATTATTACTGCTCATGATAAGTTATCAGCTTTAACATGTAAAATATATCTCAAATACAGGTTGAGCCTTCCTTATCCAAAATGCTTGGAAGCAGAAGTGTTTTGGATTTTGCAGGGATTTTTTAAATTATTATTATTTCGGAGTATATGCATATACATGAGGTATCTTGAAGATGGGACCCAAGTCTAAACATGAAATTCAGGCTTATACATATAGCCTGAAAGTAATTTTATACACAATATTTTTAAAAATAATTGTGTGCACGGAACAATGTTTGTGTATAGTGGACCATCAGAAAGCAAAGGTGTCAGTATCTCGGCCACCCATGTGAAGGATTTTGGAAGATTTTGGAATTCCGAATAAGGGTGACTCAACCTGTACAGCTTCTTTTCATGGAAAGGACAAGGATGAAAATTGGATGGCATTTTCCCATGCGTCCTCATATTCAGGCTGATTATTTGCAAGCCTGTGTCCGTTTGCTATTCCCAACACCTTTTGGGCAACTGGGGGTTCAGGGCTCTCAGTCTACTCCCACCTGCCATTAATTCACTCAGCAGCCACGTTCCCTGTCATCCCTGCATTTATTGCCTATGAAAAGGGGCTTTATGCACATAGGAATGTGTGCCCACAGAGATGTTACACATAAGGCCACAGTCAGGATCTTCCTCTTACTCATAGGCTCTCTGAAAGTTGGTAAACCCACTTACCCACTGTTTAGATCCCCTTTACATTATTAAGTGTGTGTAGATCCACTTTGCATGGTTACTGTGATGCAAGTAGCCCATGTCCCCATCTTTACTTCATAAATTCTTTGGCTGTATGGAGGAGTGTGGAGCACCAAGTGATTCTCTGCTTAAGGATACTGCTTGTTTTACATATGTGGTGGGTTGTTTTAATGGTGATGCTGCCAGTACTGATGTATTTAAGCCTATGGGGTTTGCATAGGTTTTGCAACTTATAATTACTCTTCTATGTTTATACAACAGAATAGCAAAGCTAATTCATAGTGGTCCTTGAATCCAGTGCATTGGAGGAGTTACGTAAATTATCCTGTGAGCTTTTGTTTAATACGTAATCAGTGATCATAGATGGAACAAGTTTTGTGATTTGTAGGTGATTTATCTAGTTTAAGCATTTTGGAAGAAAAAGAATGAAAAGTTATTGATGCCCCTGGAAATTAATTTACTTATCAGTAGTAATGCAGTTTTAACGAACTGGTTACATTCATTGATTTAAAACATTTATAACTAATGAATTGTCTGAAAAGGCATATGCAGAAGTAATCCAGTTTGATACCACTTAACTGCCATGTTTCAGTGCTGTTGAATTTTGGAAATTGTAGTTTGTTGTGGCACCAGGGCTCTCTGACAGAGAAGACCAAATGCTTCACAAAACTACAGTTCCCAGAAATCCCTAGCATTGAACAATGGCTGGATTATTTCTGCAGTGTCTTTTGGACCTGAGATGAAATCATCATCATCATCATCATCATCATCATCAATAATAATTTATTTCTTATATACCACCTTTTGCCTGAGCAAAAGTAGCAAAGTAGTCAGTCTTTTAATTTTTTTAAAAAAAAAATTGAGTACAAATTAAGTTATTATCCCTTTTATGGAATTCCAAAATTCAAAAATACTCCAAAATTCAAAATGGTCTGCATGAGTGGCTGAGATAGTGACACCTTTGCTTTCTGGTGGTTCAAAAATTTATTTACATCATGTATAAAATTATTAAAAATACTATATATAAAATTATCTTCAGGCTGTGTGCATAAGGTGTTTTCAAAACATAAGTGAATTTCATGTTTAGAGTAGGGTCTCATCTCCAAGATATGTCATCATATATATGTAAATATTCCAAAAACCGAAATCCAAAACACTTCTGGTCCCAATCATTTCAGATAAGGGAAACTCACCTATACCCCTTAAATAATGAAGGTGGTAGGTAGCACTTTAAAGACATCTTTTTTACATAAGAGGGGGTGCTTCTTTTAAAATGCTTTTTTGACAGATGTGTCAAGTATTATTTCTGCTTCAGAGTCCTTTTGGCTTCATAACCATTGTTTTTATCTACATGGAAATTTAACTGATAGATTATTCAAGTAAAAACAGCTAAGATCTATTTAAATGTCTTTTAATTGGGTTGCAGAGCTAATTATCAAGTATATGTATTTTTTATTTCTGCAGACCACTGGACTCGTGGGGCTAGCTGTATGTGAGACTCCACATGATGTATGTATAAGAAACCTGCTTATCTGAAATTGATATAAAGAGAAACAAACCATAAGCCTTCCTTGTATAATGTCTGTGTAACTGTAATATGATACATGAAAATCTTAAAAGTCAGTTGTTGTATCCTGGTTGATCAATTATAGTAACAAAGGGCTTTTACAGACTGCCAGAAATAATGCAGGTTGAGGTCAATTTAACTGCCCTGGCTCAGTGCCAAGGAATAATGGGAACTGTAGTTTATTGTGGCACCAGAGCTCTCTGACAGAGAAGGCTCAATGTCCCAGAAAAAAATACAGTTTCTATGATTTCCTAACACTGAGCCAGGAAGGTTAAAGTGACCACAATCTGAATTACTTCTGGCAGTCTGTAAAGGCCCTAAGTTAAATAGAAATACACCCGTCCCTCCACATTCACTGGGATTGGGGGCACAAGGACCCCTGTGAATGTGGAAAAACCTCAAATAGCAAAAATACTATGTTTTTATCTGAGAGAACAACCCTCTAGGAGTATC